ATTTGCATGCCCCATCATATTTCTTATCATTTCCACTAAGGTCATATTCCTTCTCTCAGCTACACCATTTTGTTCAGGAGTATAAGGCATTGTGTACTGATGGATGATCTCATTTTCAATGCACAATTCTTTGAAAAGGTCATATGAATATGTTTTCCCTCTATCGGTTCTAAGGACTTCAATTTTCTAGTTCGTTTGATTCTCTATCTGGGCCTTATATTCTTTGAATTTTTCTAAGACTTCTAATTTTGCATGAATAAGGTACACATGACCATATCGCGAGTGGTCATCTATAAAAGAGATAAAATATCTTTTTCCACTTTTGGTGGTCACATTCATAGGTCCACATATGTCACTATGAAAGATTTCCAATATGCTAGTAGCTCTTTTTTACCTTGGTGGTATTTTTCCTTTTTAATTTTCCTTGCACACAAGACTCGTACACTTTGGATAAATCTCATTTATAATTTTGAAGAATCCCGTTCATTTTTAATCTCTACATTCGTTTGATATTAATATTTCCTAACCTCATATGCCATAGGGTAGCATCTAATTCATTAGGGGACGAGACATAAGCAATGTTCTCTTTTATTAAAATACTAAATAGCCCGTTTACAAGTCGTCCAGTCATAATTACATCTTTCCCCTTCTTGACCATCACTTTCTTCCTAATGAAAGTGGTTATGAATCCAACCATAGACATCTTAAGAACCGAAACCAAGCACTTCTTCATATCAGGAGCATAAAGTGCTTGCCTTAGTATCAATGTGCTCCCACTCTTCAGTTTCAGCTCAAAATCTCCAACTCCAAGTATATCAGTCTTCTGATTTCCTCCCATATAAATATGTTGCTGTCCTGGCCCCATGACAGTGAAAGAACGGTAACCTTCCTTGATGTTTGTGACATGGGTCGTAACCCCCGAGTTAAGACACCAAGAAGCTCCCTTGGGGTCAGCTGACATTGACTCGAAAACCACACATCTCAATTCCTTGTTAGTTCCACCAGATTTGTTGAACCGACAACTATTGGCTATGCGGCCCACCTATTTACAAATAAAACAGGTTCGAGTCTCTCTCTTTGCTCCCTTATTTCCAAAATCTCTTCTTTTGAAATATCTTTTTTCTCAAAAGTTATTTCTTCCCTTTCATTTCTTAAATTTAAAAGATGGTTGAAATTTTACCATATGCGTAACATCACTTAGGGTTTATCTTGAACTCCTCATTTCTTCTTCAAATTTGATGGTCGTGATGAGTTGCTCCAATTTTGGTGCCCTTCTTCTAACAGAGATGGAAGATATGAAAGTCTCCCATGAATTAGGAAGAGAATTCATTAAATGAATCACTTGCATAGATTGATTGGGCTTCATGCATGTATCTTCCAAATCTCTTACTAGCGCACGAAACACGTGCACATGATCTGCAAGCTTGGTACCTTCTACCATTTTTAAATCATTGTACCTTCTCATAACCATTGTTTGCTGCATGAGAGAGGGTTCAGCATACTATCTTTCAAGTTTATCAAAAATCTCACTTGCAGGATAGATTGATTCGTACTCAAAAGCATACGAGTAAGTCGTGGCACATAAAAGAATGTGCTTGCATCTCAAGTTCCTCATCTTCCAATAGACATACTCATCTTTGATTATTTGAGATGAGTCGTTAGTTGGACGACGAGGTCGATCCTCAAAGAGTACCTCATGCAAGTTTTCTTCATAGAGCACAAATTTGATTTTTCTTTTCCATGAAGCAAAGTTGGTCCCATCAAACCTATCGATTTTCAAGATCTCAGAGATGAAGGTACGAGCAACCATATATTTCTATTCTCAAGCAAAAATAAGAAAAGACTCCTAATGGAAATCAAGTAAAACTAGCTTTGATACTAATGAAAGAAAGACCTATGTGATTTTTTTTTGGGGAAATATATATATATATATATATATATATATAATAATAATAACCCCTTATATTTTTTTTTGGCAACAAGATCACTCACAGATGGTCTAATTACAAACAATAGAAATTCCAAAAAAATAAATCTCAACTACTTGATGCCATTCATACAACTTAATACTGTGCTTGAAAATATAAAATAACAGAGCAAACAAATAAAAGATAAAATGTCGGAGATTACCGGACTTTTTATACCCCACACCAAGTCACCACATCTAATGATGCGAGATCTGTGCTCTAACTTCAATTTCAAACCGAGATAGCTGATTTCAGCAAAACTAGGTAACTACCGCTTAAAATCTCTACTAAACCTTAACCCCCAAAATTTACTTAGGCCCCTTCTAATTTTTCCAACCCTTAAAATTAACTTAGGTCTAGAGAGGAGAGAGAGTACTACCTAAGATCATGGAAAGAGAAAATTAGAGAGAGAAATATGCAGGAGAGAGTGGGGCATGCCCCTCTGGGAGAGAGAGAGGTGAGAGAGAGGTTATGGGAAAGAGAGAGAGAGAGAGATTGTGTGGAGATTAGGGGAGAGCACCCCTATTTATAGTGAATATTTAAGTTTAGGGTTTTTTAGGTTTTTCCCATAGTTTGCGTCTTTCATGAGATAGAATCTAGACCATTGATCAAGGTGACTTATGGAGTGAGAGATCTGAGCCATCCATGGGCCATCAACATTATGGAAAGGGCTTGAACCATTATCCCCCTTTCCTTAAACCATTTTCCCATCAATATATTTAAATAAAATAAATATCATGCATTCCATAAAATTGCATGATCCATGTCACATATTCCATAAGGATATGTCAAATATTATCAAGTACATAAATACTACCAAATATAAATAAGATAAGGTTAACATTTACTATCTATTCAAATTGACCATGTCCCTTTAAAAAAAACTTGTTATGAAACAAATAAAGCCATGGTCAATATTTTCCTTCCAAGATTTGACCACATGCCACAAATTAAACTTACCTTAACTTAAAGACTCGAACATAAAGCAAAAAAAGATTCCAAAGGGTGGGGCGTGCCACTCTTTTGTGGCACATGTGGGCCCCCACCCATATGCCACATGGTGGCCCCATGTGCACTTTGGACCCCCATAGAATACCATAAAAAGTTTTAAATAAACGAATTAATATATATATATATATATATATATATATATATATANATATATATTAATT